AGCATTACGCTACTATTTTACGCTGGTATTCTGTGAGAGCGTGGTCTTTATCCAGTGGTATCGACCCATTCGTGCTACAACTACAGTATAGCTGCAGCGTGGCTCTACCACGTATATAACTTTATTTCATATTTGCATTGAACAGTAACTCTGTTTTGTAAATGTGTCTATTACTGAACGTGGTCTAGTAGGTCTTTGTTCTTATACGTCCCATGTTTATTTTGTACTTATTACGACTATCCCAAAATGTTTAACACGTTAAGACGAAAAACTCGATTCAGTTTAAAAATTTACTGTAGAAGAGAAAAATTCAAATATTATATTTGTCACTTCCAGCATTAACCCGAGACCACTAACTATTAATTAATTAAAATACATGAATTAAAAATCTTAAAAAATATAAATGTTTTTATCTAGTTTGAAGAACTTTCCGCCCTCAATTACGTGCTGGGGGATAATCCCAACACCACTACACTAAGACAGAATTACCCTGTTTATTCTGATTATATCTCGTTAAAAGGCGTAACACACATTCGCACACTCGAAAAACATCACTCTCCTTCTGGAGCAGTAAAAAGAATGTACTAACTGTGTTACGTGTCTAGAATGTCGTATTGGGTTTACGATTGTTGATTGGCGATTAATTAAAAACGGGGTCCAACCCACACTCATGTCAAAATAGTTATTAGTAAATAGATTCGTAATAGCTAAATATTTTAGCAGAAGTTGCATCAGTTTAAACCAAACATACCTTTTATCGATCATACTTTCAAACTCCAGTATAGTAAACGTAGCTTTTTGTGGATTGAATCCTGTTTGAGTAATTATGTCCAATTAAGATCTATAAAATCGCAGTGTACAAGTGAGATCTTTTAAAGAATTCAAAGCAAGACATTGATTGTTACTCAATACCGTTCTAATCTAATAGTACTGCTGACATTAATATCTTCAAAGTAGCTATTTTGGGTCCCTTTTGCATAATTACGCTCTGAAAGGTATGAGCGCATGACAGCATCGTGGGGAGTTTTGGCGGGAACTTGACCGTCGGCGGAAAACTGATCCTGTACAAGTCGCGGCACGTAAGTCTAGCGCTGAACGAAGCGTGGAGGGGATAGCTGCGCAAGTCGTATCAGTACGCCAATAGCCGTAGCCGTACGCAAGTAGCAGTAGCCAATCAGCGCGTGCGGACGATACGCACGCCCGCCCCGCGACCTGCTTACTATCCCATGATACGTTATTTTCGACTTCTGCGCAATAACGGTCATCGCTAGACTTTCGTTCCGCTACTTATATTAGTTTTATTGGAATCGAAGCATTCCATCTTAGTCCTCAGGGGTGACAACGCATCCATTTTGATTCTTAATCGAGATTAAATGTAGATGTCTATGGGCCACAGCATCCACTTACCATCAGGTGGACTGTGTGCTCGTTTGTCATTCTTATTCCATTTTTAAAAAGTAGTTTTTTTACCTATTATAAGCCAGCAAGCCAGCGCTTGACTACAATCCACCTGGTGGCAAGTGGTGATGAATCCCTTGAATGTTAATCGCAACATAGACCTATTTAATCTTGCCTTGAAGATGCCCAGATTTTTTTTCGACGGAAATACTGACTTAGTTGTTATGACTGACCAGTGAATTGACTGTCGTAGTTGGGTCTCGTCGCCGGTCTGGATTCTGACCATCTTGTAGAATACGAGATGGTTATACCACCTCTATCGAATAAGGCATAAGAGTTTTCTAGCGTTCCGCAATGTCGCTTCTTACAATACACAGGAAGTGTATTAGAGAAGGTGTACACATATAATTTATTCCAGGTGGTGGATTGTATCGCCCCTCTGTCAGAGCTGCTGGGCTACTCGACGACCCTGCGTTCACTCAGCTCCGGGCTGGCCACCTTCAGCATGGAGTTCCACTCGCACCGCCACATGTCGCCGCAGGATGAGGAGAAAGCCATCAAAGATGTCACCGGCTTTTAGGAAAATACAAGTCACATAATAATAATTTCAATAAATACCTAATTCAATAAATAATTTCACATTCTGAAATCGATACGTAGTGGGTTAAAAACGTCGATTTCAGAAAGTGAAATTATTTTACTCTTTTTTGTTCTTTCAGTCTTTAGAGTCGGCTTTTAATTTTTATTAAAAGCAAATTTTTATCCTTTTGAATAGACTAAGGAATATCATAATATCAATGTTGTCTGAATTAAACATAAAAAATGCATCTGCTATTTTACCACCCTTAAGGATGGAATTTTTCCCCAAATTATTTATGGGACCATCTCTAAACTATAACATATTAAATAAATAAAAGAATAATCAAAATCGGTTCATATTTGTGAAGATATCGTATAACTTACATAAATAAAGAAAACATACATTCGTTAATTTTTTGCCACACACGGTCAGTTCAACTGATCATTCCAACTGATCAGTTCAAACTAAAACTGTTGATATTTTTTAAAATAGTGGATTTTCGATATATTGATCATTATAAATATATTAATATCGCAGTTTTACATAAAAGTTTACATATGGATGTATCGAAAATCCGACATTAAAAAAATATCAACAGTTTTAGTTTGAACTAATCAGTTGGAATGATCAGTTGAACTGACCGTGTGTGGCCACCACAACACATCTTCCTTTTTATGTAGTATGCTATAAAGAGACTTTGTACTGAACTTCTAGACAGTTCCTTCGCCAACAGCTATCGCCAACGCCAACACCAAATTTTATATTTACGTTCAAATATATAAAGAATGATATAGCGTTATTAAGGCGAGGCGAAATAAGGCTTCTACTTTTATTGGATATTATCCCAAATTGAATATGATTTATAGGCAACAACTACGTGTACGCGCGCTCCTCTGTGTGCGATTCAATTCACAACGTTTTTGCCGACCAAGCGACCCTTACGAATGAATATAAAATAGTAGGCGTTAGATATTTATGAATGACAGTCAGTTAAAGTAATGCGTTACCACGCATTCAGATTTTAAAAGATAAAAGGGACAGAATGTTTGACATTTTTGTAGTTAATTTTTCTTCACCATTAGCGGTGAGGATGAGCTACCACTACTCGGAGTTTTATAAAATTTTTGTCAAATAAATTACGTTGTGTTGAAATAAAACTGTTAATTTACATAATTATTTATATTAGCCAAATATGTACATTGATGTAGTCATAGTTGTTCTTGTTTATATGTAAATAGATACAAATAAAGAGATTACTAAATTACTTTTAATTTTATTTTTCTCCCTGAAAAGAAAAACCAATTATATCATGACAAGGTTTACAAAATGTTTTTATTAGTTATGCTGGTAAAATTGTTTTTTTTTTTATAGGATAAGAGTGACAAACGAGCACATAGTCCACCCGCTGTCAAGCGGCTACTGCGGCCTATAGACATCCACATCTATACCCGATTACGAATCAGAATGCAGATGTGTTGTCACCCCCGAGGACTAAGATGAAATGCCTCGTTTCCAGTAAAAAGGGTCTCCGGTTCTCTACACTCACTATACGAAACACGGCAGCGTTAAGCTGCTATTTTACGTTAGTATTCTATTTGAGCGTGGTCCTTCCTCGGCGAGCCGACCTATTCGTGCTACAACTATACCAGTAATATAGCTGCAGCATGACTACCACGTATGATTATGAGACAAGATTATGTTTTATTGTTGTAAATTGTAGAAAATGAAAATAGAAACTAATAAAGTAGAGTAAATTGGTTCATATGGATGATTGGCTAATAGTCCTTTAGTCCGACATTGAATATAGTTTTATAGGACACGGAAAAATGATTAATAATCGATATTGAAAAATAAAAATACATAAATAAGATATGACTTCGTATCCTGGCGGCTAACGTAATATACTTTTCCATACCATCCCGTGTGTGTCGTAAGATAGTGACAGAGGGAATTCAACAAGGGATGTGCAGAGGCATTTATCGATAACAACATTAAAAAAAAGCGGTGGCCAATAAGTCGTGGCAAAAGTACAGTTATAGTTGTAGCATGCATAAAAGTAAAGAGTTACAGTCTATATATAAGTCCCATTGCCGGGCACAGGCCTCGAAGGACTCCTCTCATTTCTGAGAGGGTTTTGTGCGCTGCTCCAATGCATGGTAGTTAACTTCACATGTGCTCAAAATATTTTTTCCTTATTTCTCAAACATGCAGGTTTCCTCACGATGTTTTCCTTCACCGCCGAGCACGTGGTAAATTAGCATTTAAGATTGCAATTAACAATTTAATTGGTGCCGGTGTGCAATTTAAGGCGAGCGCTTAGTCCCAGAGCTACTGCGGCTCTCATACTTCCTACTTTTTATAAAGCATAGTTTCATTTTGGAGGCCGCGGGTTCGAATCCCGCACGGAACAAGTATTTGTATGGCCTACAAATAATTGTTCCGGGTCGGGATGTTTGTCCTTGTGCAATTTATGTTTGTAAACTGCCTCCATGATACAGGAGAAAATTCTAGTACGGGGGTAACGTTTTTTTTTAAAAAAAAGGTGAAAATTACCTCCAGAGTGATAAGACTGCCGGTTGTACTTTATCATTATCATCATTACAGCGCGTATTATTTTTAGTTATTACTCAGGAAGATGTTGCTCCTCATCCCCCGCTTTAGTTTCTCTTTTTCGCCTCTTACAACGATCACACGATACGACCCATGGTATTTAAAATGCCTATAAAACAATATAGAGAAAGTATAATTTATCTTAGGTATTTAGTCACTCATTAGCCTCTCATAAACCGCTGCTGAACACAGGTTTCCCCCACAGATTGCCTCATAGGATGCAAGCCTTGGAGAGCCGGTGTAAGAGTAAGAAGATGAAAGGAGCCGCGATAATAGGGAACACTGTAAACTGTATGCTATCTCATTCTCGCAAGCTAGATCCTATAGCTGTACGAGGGGCGTTCAATGTATTTCGTAGCCGTAGACGTTTAGTCGAGTTACAAATCACAACAATTCTAAAGAAGTTTTCACTTCAATGTAAAATTAAATGAAGGTGTGCACTAACTCCGAAGAGGTTGCGCATCTCGTGCAGCAGGGTCTCGTGGCGGTACGCGACGCGCACGTCGGGCACGTTGGTGCGCGCGATGTCGTTGCCCGCCGGGCCCGCAACCACGTACTGTGCACCCAGCCACCGCTGCTTCATCTGACAGTTTCACGCACCTCTTTCAATCAACTATAGTCTTTGCGTTATAACATGGTGCGGGTGACAGATTATATAATCGCCTTTTTTGAATCAATTTGTTCATTGTGTCCATCTCTAGACAGTTTAGCGTGTCTAGATATGGAACGATGTTAAATCATTTTAAAAAAGATGATTCACGATACACATAGTAAAGTAAAAATTATTGATTATTATATTCTTATAATTAAATTTTTTGTCGCATATTGCAAACGCACGCGAGTTACGTTCTAGTGACCTGGCCTGTCATCCGCATCGTGCTACAACGCAACGAGGTGTTAAGACCTGTGGTAGCAGTAAACACTCACTTCGGGACGTGCTTTTAATAAAGCAAAGAGAGAAAGTGGCCCCGGTTACATTTCGAATGAATCTTTCTAATACGCTGATGGTGACCACCTTTCCGTCACTCTTCCATCGAAATTTGTCCATGAGTATTTTCCCACCCATATTGCCCACGATAAAAGTAAGGTGCTAAGCGCTTTTCGAATTGTGTTGTGGCGGTGTAAAAATATGCTTGGGTGTCTTAAGAAGTGACAGAGGAAAACTAGAACATAATATAGGAATCAACATTTTTCTAAGTACACTTAAATATTAAAAAATAGCGGTTGCCAACCTGCATGCCATACGTGGCAACTATGGTAAAATTTGCCCTACGATAAATTCTGTGAATGAGGCCTATGTTTAGCAGTGGCTTAGCAGGTCGAGTGCCATGGCGCTTAACGACAGGTTTTAGGGGATGGCATATTAGGAATTAAAGTCAGCCCCCTTTATCTTTTTTAATGATACCGGTAAATATCTCCTTAAGCGGAAACAAGAAATTGATGAAGGTGTACTGAATTTAAAATTACTAATGTAGGTACTCAGTATTAGGGGTACAATAACGTTGTCAAACCAAACAAACCTCGTGCGGGAACCCAGACATGAGCACGGAATTACGCGCCAGCTCGCACATGTCGCAAGAGCTCAACTTCCACGCTTGTGCTGCTATGCTGTACTCTTCCATCAATGGTTCCTGTATTTTGTAATAATAAAATAAATATCAAAAAACATCCTGTTCAACTAATAACCTTTCGTCATAGGGGTGTATTATAAATTTTAAGTGTCTAGTTTCTTTTTACACAACCCTTGTAATTAAACCAAATTTTCCTATCTTCTTTATGTAAGTGATTATTGTAGTACGTTCAATTATTCAAGATAGAGCCACCGAATAACTTATATTTTAACTTAATTCATATTCCTTTTTGCAGAGTTAATGGGTCACCGCTTTGCTGATTTTATGGTTACGAATGAGTGGAAAGAGTAGTCAGTAGGGGTAGAATAATTTATTGTAAAATGTGATATAAGTACAACACTTATATACTAAAAATTAACAAATGTACAAAGGTTTTAACCAATGAAAATGTCTACTTTAAAATATTATTTACAGTCTTAAAATTACAAATTAAAACTAATGATTGCCATAAAAAAACAGGAAAGGAATTTTTGTGTTGTGAATAAACAAAACGCGGCGGGGCGGTATAAAAACTCCGTTACTTATGAGCTTTATAGAAAATAGACATCACAATTTCGTTCGCCAACCGACAGCCGACGCCGACAGCCGACGTCGACAGATTGCCTTGTCTATAGTTGTGTTGGCCCACATAATTATTATTAATCTCCAACATTTTCGGTTGGTTGTGAAAACATCCAAAGATGTCCCAACTCAGGTCCCATTTCTTTTTTCTTCTGAGCGCTCGCGTCGGATGAATCTGCATTCCTGCTGCGCGTGTTAATAGATTCCTACAACAGCCTCTAAAGAACAATATCATGCTTCATGCTGATTTTTAAACGTGGTAAAGCCAGGCTGCAATTATATTAGTAGTATAGTTGTAGCACGAATAGGTCGGCTCGACCGGGGAAGGACTACGCTCTCACACCAGCGTAAAGTAGTAGCCTAATGCTGCTGTGTTTCGTATGATGAATGTAGAGAACCGGAGACCCTTTTTACTGGAAACTAGGCGTTCCATCTTAGTCCTCACGGGTGACAACGCATCTGCATTTTGATTCGTAATCGAAGATAGATGTAGATGTCTATGGGCCGCAGTGACAACACCCTATCCAATAAAAAAAATATAATAGCTCTTTTCAGAGCCGATAGAGCTTTTCTATATTTAACGAGACGTCGATTGTAACTACACTTCGAATAGTACCACCATATTTTCTGTAATTTAAAGAATTCTCAATTTGGATTCAAACTTTTTTTATCCCCTGATCTCGGTCTATCTTATTGTGAGTTATCCACATGATAAAATAGGTTAAAAAGGATGATGTACGTAGGAATAAAATGACGGCATTTTGTTTGGACACTTATAAATAAAGACAATATGGGCATATTTGATTACCCTTGTATAATGAAATTGTAACGGATCGTCAGTACTGAGCGCGACGCAAAGTCCCCGCGCAAAGAAATCTGGCAGAGGGTTGCGATGGTAACGCAAGAACAGCGAGTTGTTGCTCAGCGGCGACATGGCGATGTAGATCTGTGCCAGGTAGTACAGGTACTGCAGCACCGGGAACTGGGAACATGCAGAAAACAAAAAAAATGGCCGCGCAATTGAGCAGTTATAGCATCAATTCAAACTATTATATCTGTTTATATGGTCAATAACGCAAAGACAGCAGTGTGCATTGAAGAGGAATAATTTTTAAATAAAATTAGTTTTTCGAATTTTATCGTGTATAACTTTTTTTATATTCCCGACGTTTCGAGCATTTTACAGCACCCATCGTCACAGGGGGACTGAGGTGTTCCGTGTTCGATGTCCCGATGTCATATTTAACCGCAGTTACCTACAGATTAAAATATTAATTTTTGTTCCAATCTACACAGTATGAACTTATGGTATCTTGAAGCCTTGCAGTTGTACGCTTGGGTTGGGATTTAATTTTATTTATTATAGGATCCCAAGCAGATGGTAGCACCCAGCCATCTTCTCTATTGAAATTAGGATAGTTTTTGATTTCTATAGCCTCGCGAATCATCCTTGGAAGGAATCGGTGTTCTTTAGCGAGGATTTGTTGTCTATCAAATCTGATGTAGTGACGGGGGCGATCCTGTACGTGTTCACAGACTGCAGACTTCCCGGAGCAGTTTAGTTTTATTTAAATGTGTAGTGTTAGCGTATATATAAGAAATCATTAGGATTAATTTTACTAAATACTTTAAAACTAGTAATAATCATCATTGAATTATTGTACTAGAATAGATATTGCGAAAAAAATCTGTGCGGCAGTACTGGGCGCGTGCCACGAGGCAAATTATGGCACAGACAAAGTAAGTTTGAGTCCGCGGGCTTAACGCGTGTTGCTATCAACCAAGTCTAGATGTCTCTTCTAGTAGTAGATATATAGTTCAATGCTACTTATTACTTCAAAGTCTAGATGTCTCTTCTAGTAGTAGATATATAGTTCAATGCTACTTATTACTTCAAAGTCTAGATGTCTCTTCTAGTAGTAGATATATAGTTCAATGCTACTTATTACTTCAAAGTCTAGATGTCTCTTCTAGTAGTAGATATATAGTTCAATGCTACTTATTACTTCAAAGTCTAGATGTCTCTTCTAGTAGTAGATATATAGTTCAATGCTACTTATTACTTCAAAGTCTAGATGTCTCCTCTAGTAGTAGATATATAGTTCAATGCTACTTATTACTTCAAAGTCTAGATGTCTCTTCTAGTAGTAGATATATAGTTCAATGCTACTTATTACTTCAAAGTCTAGATGTCTCTTCTAGTAGTAGATATATAGTTCAATGCTACTTATTACTTCAAAGTCTAGATGTCTCTTCTAGTAGTAGATATATAGTTCAATGCTACTTATTACTTCAAAGTCTAGATGTCTCTTCTAGTAGTAGATATATAGTTCAATGCTACTTATTACTTCAAAGTCTAGATGTCTCTTCTAGTAGTAGATATATAGTTCAATGCTACTTATTACTTCAAAGTCTAGATGTCTCTTCTAGTAGTAGATATATAGTTCAATGCTACTTATTACTTCAAAGTCTAGATGTCTCTTCTAGTAGTAGATATATAGTTCAATGCTACTTATTACTTCAAAGTCTAGATGTCTCTTCTAGTAGTAGATATATAGTTCAATGCTACTTATTACTTCAAAGTCTAGATGTCTCTTCTAGTAGTAGATATATAGTTCAATGCTACTTATTACTTCAAAGTCTAGATGTCTCTTCTAGTAGTAGATATATAGTTCAATGCTACTTATTACTTCAAAGTCTAGATGTCTCTTCTAGTAGTAGATATATAGTTCAATGCTACTTATTACTTCAAAGTCTAGATGTCTCTTCTAGTAGTAGATATATAGTTCAATGCTACTTATTACTTCAAAGTCTAGATGTCTCTTCTAGTAGTAGATATATAGTTCAATGCTACTTATTACTTCAAAGTCTAGATGTCTCTTCTAGTAGTAGATATATAGTTCAATGCTACTTATTACTTCAAAGTCTAGATGTCTCTTCTAGTAGTAGATATATAGTTCAATGCTACTTATTACTTCAAAGTCTAGATGTCTCTTCTAGTAGTAGATATATAGTTCAATGCTACTTATTACTTCAAAGTCTAGATGTCTCTTCTAGTAGTAGATATATAGTTCAATGCTACTTATTACTTCAAAGTCTAGATGTCTCTTCTAGTAGTAGATATATAGTTCAATGCTACTTATTACTTCAAAGTCTAGATGTCTCTTCTAGTAGTAGATATATAGTTCAATGCTACTTATTACTTCAAAGTCTAGATGTCTCTTCTAGTAGTAGATATATAGTTCAATGCTACTTATTACTTCAAAGTCTAGATGTCTCTTCTAGTAGTAGATATATAGTTCAATGCTACTTATTACTTCAAAGTCTAGATGTCTCTTCTAGTAGTAGATATATAGTTCAATGCTACTTATTACTTCAAAGTCTAGATGTCTCTTCTAGTAGTAGATATATAGTTCAATGCTACTTATTACTTCAAAGTCTAGATGTCTCTTCTAGTAGTAGATATATAGTTCAATGCTACTTATTACTTCAAAGTCTAGATGTCTCTTCTAGTAGTAGATATATAGTTCAATGCTACTTATTACTTCAAAGTCTAGATGTCTCTTCTAGTAGTAGATATATAGTTCAATGCTACTTATTACTTCAAAGTCTAGATGTCTCTTCTAGTAGTAGATATATAGTTCAATGCTACTTATTACTTCAAAGTCTAGATGTCTCTTCTAGTAGTAGATATATAGTTCAATGCTACTTATTACTTCAAAGTCTAGATGTCTCTTCTAGTAGTAGATATATAGTTCAATGCTACTTATTACTTCAAAGTCTAGATGTATCTTCTAGTAGTAGATATATAGTTCAATGCTACTTATTACTTCAAAGTCTAGATGTCTCTTCTAGTAGTAGATATATAGTTCAATGCTACTTATTACTTCAAAGTCTAGATGTCTCTTCTAGTAGTAGATATATAGTTCAATGCTACTTATTACTTCAAAGTCTAGATGTCTCTTCTAGTAGTAGATATATAGTTCAATGCTACATATTACTTCAAAGTCTAGATGTCTCTTCTAGTAGTAGATATATAGTTCAATGCTACTTATTACTTCAAAGTCTAGATGTCTCTTCTAGTAGTAGATATATAGTTCAATGCTACTTATTACTTCAAAGTCTAGATGTCTCTTCTAGTAGTAGTATATAGTTCAATGCTACTTATTACTTCAAAGTCTAGATGTCTCTTCTAGTAGTAGATATATAGTTCAATGCTACTTATTACTTCAAAGTCTAGATGTCTCTTCTAGTAGTAGATATATAGTTCAATGCTACTTATTACTTCAAAGTCTAGATGTCTCTTCTAGTAGTAGATATATAGTTCAATGCTACTTATTACTTCAAAGTCTAGATTAGATCCTACTTAAGTCGATGTCTCTTCTAGTAGTAGATATATAGTTCAATGCTACTTATTACTTCAAAGTCTAGATGTCTCTTCTAGTAGTAGATATATAGTTCAATGCTACTTATTACTTCAAAGTCTAGATGTCTCTTCTAGTAGTAGATATATAGTTCAATGCTACTTATTACTTCAAAGTCTAGATGTCTCTTCTAGTAGTAGATATATAGTTCAATGCTACTTATTACTTCAAAGTCTAGATGTCTCTTCTAGTAGTAGATATATAGTTCAATGCTACTTATTACTTCAAAGTCTAGATGTCTCTTCTAGTAGTAGATATATAGTTCAATGCTACTTATTACTTCAAAGTCTAGATGTCTCTTCTAGTAGTAGATATATAGTTCAATGCTACTTATTACTTCAAAGTCTAGATGTCTCTTCTAGTAGTAGATATATAGTTCAATGCTACTTATTACTTCAAAGTCTAGATGTCTCTTCTAGTAGTAGATATATAGTTCAATGCTACTTATTACTTCAAAGTCTAGATGTCTCTTCTAGTAGTAGATATATAGTTCAATGCTACTTATTACTTCAAAGTCTAGATGTCTCTTCTAGTAGTAGATATATAGTTCAATGCTACTTATTACTTCAAAGTCTAGATGTCTCTTCTAGTAGTAGATATATAGTTCAATGCTACTTATTACTTCAAAGTCTAGATGTCTCTTCTAGTAGTAGATATATAGTTCAATGCTACTTATTACTTCAAAGTCTAGATGTCTCTTCTAGTAGTAGATATATAGTTCATTTTCACTTATTACTTCAAAGTCTAGATGTCTCTTCTAGTAGTAGATATATAGTTCAATGCTACTTATTACTTCAAAGTCTAGATGTTCTATAATAGTAGTAGATATATAGTTCAATGCTACTTATTACTTCAAAGTCTAGATGTATCTTCTAGTAGTAGATATATAGTTCAATGCTACTTATTACTTCAAAGTCTAGATGTCTCTTCTAGTAGTAGATATATAGTTCAATGCTACTTATTACTTCAAAGTCTAGATGTCTCTTATAGTAGTAGATAATAGTTCAATGCTACTTATTACTTCAAAGTCTAGATGTCTCTTCTAGTAGTAGATATATAGTTCAATGCTACTTATTACTTCAAAGTCTAGATGTCTCTTCTAGTAGTAGATATATAGTTCAATGCTACTTATTACTTCAAAGTCTAGATGTCTCTTCTAGTAGTAGATATATAGTTCAATGCTACTTATTACTTCAAAGTCTAGATGTCTCTTCTAGTAGTAGATATATAGTTCAATGCTACTTATTACTTCAAAGTCTAGATGTCTCTTCTTAGTAGTAGATATATAGTTCAATGCTACTTATTACTTCAAAGTCTAGATGTCTCTTCTAGTAGTAGATATATAGTTCAATGCTACTTATTACTTCAAAGTCTAGATGTCTCTTCTAGTAGTAGATATATAGTTCAATGCTACTTATTACTCAAAGTCTAGATGCCCTAGGAACATCTTCAAAGTCTAGATGTCTCTTCTAGTAGTAGATATATAGTTCAATGCTACTTATTACTTCAAAGTCTAGATGTCTCTTCTAGTAGTAGATATATAGTTCAATGCTACTTA